TAAACATATTGTGAAAAAGTCCTTTGAGCTTGGGCAAAAAACATGGCTTTTCAACTCTAGACCCAAATTCTTTTCTGGAAAACTTCGAACCAAATGGGAAGGCCCTTATCTAATCATCTCCGTCTTACCTCATGGGGCGATTGAACTTCAAAATTTAAAAGATGAGGGAACCTTCAAAGTTAATGGCCAAAGGCTTAAACCATTCATTGATGGACAAGCTCTTCAAAGAAATATGGAATCCACCCTCTTGGTGGATCTTCTTTACTTTGAAGATTGAGAGCATTTCACGTCTTTCTAGCGACATTAAACACTAGTTGTATTGAGTTCCTCCTTCGTTCTAAAAAATAATAATAATAAAATTAAATTAAAAAAAAAATTAAGTATCAGCTGCCAGGCGACCATCGCCCGGGTGAGCATTTTCTGACAAGAAGTATCAGGTGTTGGGTGATCATTCACCGGGCCTTGGGTGACCATCGCCCAAAAAAAAAAAAATTGCATGTAAGTATCAGGTGTCGGGCAATCATTCGCCCAAAAAAAAAAAAATTTGCATTCTTTATTTCATTACATTTTCATTTATTGAATTTTTATTTCTTTGCATTTTATTGTTGTTTGTGTACATACATGTTATGTTTTAAAAAAAAAAAAAAATTAAAAAAAGACGGTTGTTCAAAGTTACATTTCGTCTTGCTAAAGACGTTAAACTTAGCACCCACAAAATACATTATATCTTTTATCCCTTTTATAGTGCATGTTTACTTTTCTTTTCATTTTTTATTTTTTTTTCATTTTGTTTCTTTACATGCTTTCATAAAACGAATATATATATATATATATATATATATATATATATATATATATATATATATTTCCATTGTGAACTTCTGCATAGTTATGCATGTTTTCATTCTTACCAAGGGTTTCATCTCATATCTCTCTGCATCGTGTTATATATTGTTTTGGACTGTATGCATTGTTTATCCCATGTGATATTTGATGTGAGTTTGCTAGTATGGTTATACAACTAGGTTTTTGCATCCAAGTTTAGGGGAGACATATTTCCTATTGGATCATTACCGGATTTCATAATCTTTGCCATCACGGTATACTCTTTCTATCATTTTTCATTGTTCTCATTGCACATCGAGGACAATGTACAGTTTAAGTTTGGGGATAAGGTCATCATGATTCATTCTATTTTAAGTTGAGTTTTAAATGCATGATGAGATTTGAGATGTGTTTGGCAATGATTTTAAACTTTTGAAGCATAGTGCATTTGAAAAGTAAGTTGTTAGAGTGTAAAACTTCTTGTATGCTCTAGGATGCCATTTAGGGGTAAATTTCAATTTTTGACATTATGTTTGCTTTTGTGGTACACATTCTCTTGTTGGTTGAAAATGCTTTGAGAGTTGATTCTAGAATTCTACACTTGCACGTGTGCATACTAGCATTCAATTTGTGGGGTACATGCTTAATTGATTATTGTTTTGGTTTATCCCAATTGAGCTAGTATGCTTTGAAAACTTTCATTCTTGATAAAATGACCTTGCAAAGAAAAGAAATAAAAGCACTCGCCAAAGGTGAGCAAAATCACTCGCCAAAGGTGAGAAAAAAAAAATGTTTAATTGAATAACAAGGTTCATTTAATATCTTGATATCTGGTACTACATCTGTATGCTAGTTTGAGGGTAAGGCTATGCTATTACTTTGATTTACTATGATAGCAACACATTTTAATGCCGGTTCACTAAAAAAGAATGATAGAATTGATTCAATTTGCATGATTAATTGCTTGATGTGTGGAGGACCATTCTTACTTATATGATGTTGAAATGTCTTAGAAATGGCAGAAATTTGCATACTTGAAGTAGTTTACTTTCATCACTTATTTGATATGTGTCGTTACTTCTTAAGTAAGAAAGAGCTGTTGATGTTTGTGGGTACCATTTCTGGAAACCCTCACGAGACTTCACTTGTCCACTAGGGGTAACCTAAGGGTTGAAAAGGCTTGTTGCATATGTTAAATGCAACCGTGATCCCTACAAAAATGGTGTTATCTTTATTTGCTTTATTAGTTCATAGTTGTATATATATTTGTTTCATTTTCATACTATAATTCATTACTAGGGACTAGCAATATCTAAATTTGGAAGCGTGATAAGTGCTTAAATGTTGCACATTTCAGCACCTAAGTTAGGGTATTTTAGTCTTTTCATTTATCTTACTTTTATATTTTAGTCATAATTTATGTTTATGTATATTTTAGGGCAATAAAGTTCAAACGGGTTTAAATCGGTCCATTACCGCATTTTTGGAGTCATACCGCATTTTTGGAGTCAAGTCAGAGTATAGGCATAAATTCTAGAAGAAAACAAAGATGCATTGCGTCTAGACGCAAAAGCTGCGTTCGGACGCCAAGCTCCTATCAGCAGACCAATTACGAGATTAACTTAGTTTTGGACTTGGGATTAACTCTTTTAGGCTTATTTTGTAACCTATTGGCTCTAATGGGCTTGTTAAGAGCCAATGAACTATTAGTTTAGGGTTAGTTTTTATTTTATTTAGGGGAGTTTTATTATTATTTTATTTTATTAAGTTTTTATATTTTCTGTATCGAGATATTGATATTATCTCTGGAAAATGCAAAAAGGACGAGAAACAGAAAAACGGGCTAGGGTTTGGAAGAAAAAGCTCAGAGATGATAAATACAAGGATGGAGATTGTTCTGTCTTCAACTCCATCAACCATGAGTGGCTGATTCTTCTACTTAGTGGATAAACCCTAAGCATGTAACCTATTCTCTCTCTTTCCACTTTTTGGGGATTAATTTATGTAATTAGTGTATAGTCTTAAATATTATGAATTAAATTCTTCCAATTGATTATCTATATTAATCTCATATTGTCTTATATGTGGTTCATTGATAAACAAATTTTACACTTGAATTCTTTGTTAATTGATTCTTATGATGGCTATGCATAGTATTGATTAGTTGTAATTGTGTTTCAAATTGATGAAAAATGCTTCTACTTGATGGATGACACTACATGTTTAAGTTTGAAATTCATACTTATTATCACAATTGCATTATCCTCTAGATTAATGTGTGTTGAAATTATAACTTGATGAATCATGCTTTGAATTAGTGAATTGCACTACACTTAGTTTAATTATAATTAAGTAGTTGATTCATTCTTGAAATTGATGGTTTATACTTTTTATTGCAATTATTAACCTCATTTAGATTTACATTTGATTTTTTTCTTAATTAGTTAAAAGTAGTGAATTAGGGAATGTATTTAGTAGTGAATCCTACACCCTAAGTCTCTTTCCTAATCTTTAAACTCTATTATTTTATTACAATAATTTAGATTAAAATTAGTTGTAATCACAAAACAAAAATTTTTTTTAGCAATACTCCATGATATAAGTATTTAGTAGTTTATAAATTATAAAATATGATACTCATTATTTCTAAACCTAAAATGTTATATATTATTTTATGCACACATTCGATCGCATCAATACGTATCTGACGAATATCGGTATGTGACTAGGACACGGCACCAATAAGACTATTTCGTGGGAGTGTCTTGCTTCATAGGCCTCCTAATTGAAGTGAATGAGAATTATGTGGGGACTCGGATCCTTTACATTGCTGACGCGGGTTCGCTTCTATCCGCTGGTCAATCCAACAGCGAATAGGCAGCCACGTCACTAGAGCAGACACAAGAAAGATTCAGGCTCAAAGAAGGAAAACGCTGTCGTTTTGTCTCAAAATAAAGGGCAAAAAAATGCATGTATATGACGAGATTGCCCTTCAGATCATCTTAAACCTCGTCTTCTCTTCCTTATCTGATTCAGTATGCTTCAAGATTTTAAAACCCTAATATTTCTCCCCTCTCTGTTTCCTGATTTTTTTTCTTTTCATCGTTTACACAATTTCGAAACCCTATTTTTCAAAACTCTAAATTTCAGACCTCTTTATGAGTGTTCATGTTTTTAAATATATATATAGAGAGAGAGAGAGATGGGTCTGGGTTCTGGCTCTAAATAAATTTAGGGATTTCATAATACATTAAAATTATGATTATTTACCCACAAAGGAACCGTTTTTCTGATAACAATTTTTTTTTTTTTTTTTCTTACACGTTTTCTGATAACATTTGCAGCAAGCAATCGATACAAGAATATGCATGTATATTTCGGTATATATATACACACACAATGATACACACGCATTTATGGAGATGGAATAATTTGAGCAAACATTATTCAAATCCAAATGGAAAGGATGGTATTGTCGAAATAATGACTAATGATGATCTCCAGCAGGTCTTTTTACATCTGATGATGCAGAGGAAGAGGAGAGGAAAAAGAGGAGATAGGAATGGTAACTTTGTCATTTTTCACTCACAAACTTTCCTTTATTTTGGGATCCGAGTCAGTTTGACGGGGCTGTTGGATCGAGCAGCGGATAGAAGCGAACCCACATCATCAACTTAGAGAATCCGAATCAATTACATAGACTTGCTCCCCCTCCTGCCTTTCTTCCAGTCATCAATACCAAACAAGGGAGAGCTCTTTCCTCTCCTCCCTCCCTCCCAGTCATCAATACCAAACAAGGGCCCTCCCTTCCATTCCCTCCAATTTTAATTGCAAATCACCCAACATTTTTCCTATCTAATGCGAATTTTGATCCTTGAAGATCTTTTGGTGAGTGGGTGACTACAAGACAATATCCCGTGTTTGAATCGTGCTAAGGGCACTATTGTGGAGGTCTCCATGGAACCTTTAACAGTATACACATACATTATTGAATTACCGATTCTCAGGTGTTCTCACATAAAAAAAAATGCCCATTATTTTTGTTCTAATCGCGAAAATTAATTTAGTTGGGTCCTACTTGTTGCAATCCATATTGAGGAACGGAGTAGATGAAAGATGAGATCGTTTGGAATGAAGCAATTCCAAATCCAAGTCCAACACCAAAAGAGCAAATATAGCAACAAAGAAACATCAGGATTTTATTTGGTATAGATCCACTCAAGGAAAGCCACACTAGTAAAGTGGTAGTGGATTTTTTGTAAATTACATAGTAACACATAGAAGTCACACAGATAATTAAGCTGCATTGGTAGCAATACAACTATTAATAAGTAAAACTAGAGGTGACACTGACTATTTCAGATGACATGAGAGAGAGTGGAATTATTTTAGCCATGAACTTGGCTTCACATTATGCTGCATTGACGGCAATCTTCATCCCAGACTCACAGTGCCCGGCAAAACTGCATATGAAGTAATTCTGTCCCTTTGCAAGCCTTATCCGGTCCTTCCCTGTTTGGAACACTTTTGCACCTGCCGGAGTTCTGCAACTGCTATAACCTCCCCGGTTTACGGCAACCACATTGTGGATAGTTTTATCATAGTTGAACACTGCCCAATGTGGATATACATGCTTTGTTATGTCGTATTACATTCAGCTTCACTATATAAAGTTCTCAAAAAAAGAATTGCGTCACTGTGAAATTTGAAAATTAGCCGAAACAAAAACACAAACAATAATACACAAATTTACATGGTTTATTCAAAATTAGGGCTAGGTTCACGAAGTCCCGAGATTTCACTGGCACGAGGAACAAAACGAAATTACAGAGTTAAACTATTGCTCCTATTATCCTCCCATAGAATGAGGACTGCATAATAAGTGGGATAGAACATGTGGTATGGTGTGTCTGGCTGTCTCCATGATCACCCCTTCAACTAGCTTTTTCATGTGTGTCCAAAACAGTTAATGAAATACAACATTTGTGGGTCCAAACCATAAATTTGAAATGAGTGATTTATGCTTGTGCTGTACAGAGATATTTAATATATGTGTGTTTGCAAGTGAAATAGTTTGAAGCATAAGGTTTGGAATAGGAAAAGTACATGGCGGTGAACATGAAAGTCAAGTACATGGTGTATTTAATGTGTTTGTATGAAAATGGTAGAAGTGAGGCATGTAGATGTAGGTGTTGTGATAGGCTTATGAATCGGTGCTTATCTTTCAAATTTAAAGTGAGGAAAATGAGTATAAATATTATATATCACTTTGAGTTTGAAGCTTTTGATTCGAAGTTATATCAGCGTGTGAGATTTTTATCTTCTTGTAAAAAATAAAAGTCTTCTAATCACATAATCATCTTATTTGGATGAAGATTTCATGTATATAATTACATCATACACAGGTTCACTATCAAAAAGTGCATAGATTAAATTTAAAATTGTTGCATTTAACATTAACAAAGAATTAATATAAATAAATAAAAGAGAACAAGAAAAGAATACTTTTTCCATTATTGATATTGCTGGTGAAAATTCAACTAAAAATAAATATGTGGTTAAAAAAAAAAAACTTACCAAGTACATCACCGGCCCTAAAGCGCTTTCCTTTAGGCCAATTACTGAGATTAAAGGTCCAACCACCAGAGCCACCAACTATAAAAGTTGCACCATGAACTGCCTCAAACTGAACCACAAGGCAAAGTAGTGCAACCACAACGAAAATGGCTGGACCTGCACTGCCTCTTCCCTGAGACATTTCCAAAAAGAGTTGGTGAGAGAGGAAAGGTAATGTATAGCTGTGAGAGTGAGGAGTTCTGGTGATGCAAAGTAGTAAAGGAGGCTAGCTTTTTTTATAGTGTGTTTGGGACAAAGCATGAGGTCCCATATTATATGATAGAAAAATGACCCGGACCAAAGACAAAATGGTGACTAATTAAGACTATAGATAAAGATAAACTCAACGACTCCCACAGTACTCTTTAAGTTAGACTTCCATGCTAATCAAATGATGAAGGCACTACGATAGTGCTTAGCAACCGAAAATTTAGAAACTGCGTACTCTAAAAATATTGGGAAATTATCCACCCACGAGCTTGCATCTGATTTAGCATACACATGTCAGGATATGAGTGGGTGCTAGAAATGTGTGTGTGTGTGTGTATTTATTGTATGTAATAAAAAATGAAATATGTGATGGAACCCAAGCAAACAGTAAAGAGATGCGAAAGCTTGAAATGCGTGTCTTTTCTGTAAGAAAGATAAGAAATGATGAAAGTAAAAAAAGTTGTATAGTGTGTGAACCGGAAACCGGAGAAGAAGACTTAATGAAAGGTGAGATCGTGAAACTCGCCAGTAAAATCTATTTGAGTCTTGAAGAGTGTGTCTTTTCTGTAAGAAAGATAATATATGATGAAAGTTAAAAAGTTGAATAGTGTGTGAACCGGAAACCAGAAAAGAAGACTTAATGAAAGGTGAGATCATGAAACTCGCCAATAAAATCTATGTGAGTTTTTTTTATAAAAAAAAAAAGAAAAAAAATGGAGAGAAAAATAAGGTGAAGGTGAAGAGTGCACCGAGTGAGTGCAAAAAGCACTAATTTTATAAATAATAAAAAATTATGGGTCTGTGCATGTGCATGTGAAACGACTCGAACTCGAGGGTCCGAATCGCTAACCGTGTCCTTACCCGAACCCGATATCAACTAAAGACGTTACCATCGTTTCTTATGGTAATACATAATATACGTGTCATCCTAGGATTTATAAATAATAATAATAATAATAAAATGAGATCATAGCTACAAAATAGGTCAAACAGTCTACTAACCCATCAAAACCTGTGGAGAACGTCATCTGCCACTTCCTTTCTGTGACCTGAAAAAAATGTTAAAATGATGGAGTGAGCATAAAGCTCAGTAGTAAGCGTATAAGACACACCTTTTACGACTCCGTGAATCTATATAATGAATAAGATACGAGAGAACTGGATCATATCTCGAGGAAAACAAGCAAAGTAACGATAATAATTAACAAATATATACGCAAGTCGTCTAACCACCAAATATACAATGTATGTCAATGCAATGCTGTAACACCCCCACATTTTCCACGCATAAGTTGATCAGGCTTATACACGAAAAACGAGGGATATCAAAAACAATTGGCAATATACAAGCATGGAATACAAAATGATGGAATTAAAAGAATTTAGACAGGAAAGAAACATTAAATAATACAACATCCATCCATCCTTTATTTAATGTAGTACTTCATTACAACTTGGAAATCCTACGTCATGGATCCCTAAATATAACCCTGATAGTTCAACGTCAAAAGTAAATAAAACTGAAACTGAAGTATTACATAAAACTTCTACCCTGCACTGGATCGTAAGAGTAGATGAGTTCGGATGATGGTCCCACACTGCTAACCTCAGCCTTGAAACGGATACTGACCGTATCCTGAAATAACAACAATGGTGGGTCAACCCCACGAGCAAGTCCTCTCTACTATGACCCAAATCAGAGAATCAAATAAATTAATCATTATGAATCGGTTGAGTACTATATCTGTATACATCCTACGGGAACTATCCGATGTATAACATGACCTCAACCAGAATAGACGGTGATCACTTAGACTCACACTAGGTGGTCAAGTGTCGCCTTTCCCTACCCGGGAAATCAGCTATTATACATGGTGTACGGTACTGACAACACAGACTATAACGAACTACACAGTGATAACACCTCGCAAAGTACTGATGAATATACTGAGCATATAAATTAGGCAACACATGCCAACGATATTAATAAATGTACCGAGAATGTCAATTTAGGCAACACATGCCAATAATATTAATAAATATACCGAGTATGTCAATTAGGCAACACATGCCAATAATATTAAACCACATACCCCGACAGCCACACATCTGTCTATCGCAACGAATGCATAAGGTATAAATGAGTCTAAACTTATTAGCCAGCTCATATGGTTCTATATGGCAACACATCCATATAATATAAATGCGACATAATTAAACAGTTCATTTATTTCCTGAAATGCACACAGCATAATAATCATGGTTTATATATCAATTAACAGTATAAACATCCTATAAGATATCGTGGATAATTTATCTGACTAAAACCATGGCCTTATTTAATTTAACAGTAATGTTTGATACCATTAAATACGATAATAACACTATTTATATTTAACAATGTCGTTAAATAAATCACATTAGTATCCGTACTGCGAACGAGCCAATAAATGCTTAGAAAAGATTAATCGGCCATAAGAATAAGTAACGGGTGTTAAAATAATAATTTCGTGGCCCGTTAAACCCGTAAATACCAACACAGTACCTAAAAATCCAAGTTTAAGGTTCTGGAATTTACAAAACAAGCCCTAGGGGTATTCTGGTAATTTCCAGCAGCTGTAGGGACCCCACACGCGCCCTCACGCGCCTCCCAGAGCCTCCCCACGCGCAGCCAAGCTTTCCCCACTCTCCCACGCGCCTCCACGCGCGTCTGGCATCAGCCACGCGCTCCCACGCGCGTCTGGAGAGTCCCACGCGCGCGCACGCGCTGCCACGCGCGCACTAAGAGTGCCTTGCTGACGCGGCGTCCTCCGGTTGGTTGGCTGCATCAGCTTTCCTGCATGCGCGCCACACCGGATCACTCCACCTGCATCTCCTCCATCCAACGTTCCCTGATCCGGGTGTACCGCGGTATCATGGACCGCGATGCACCGGATCAATCAGACTCCATTAATGGCCAGGATGCGCGCGTACACCTCCTATGGTGCGCCGCGTCGCACCGGATCACTCCGGTCGTCTCCCCCACTGCCGGCGACCGGAAAACTCGCCGGAAGGTCGCCGGAAATTGCAGAAAATGCCCGGAAAAATCTAGAAAATTCTAGAAAAATCCCTAAAGTCTTATTTAATTATTTTTAGCCATTATAAATTTCATAGGACATTAAATAAATATATACCATCCTATATAATTAAAATTCCATTAATTGAATAAAATAAAATTAATAATTTATTAACCTCTAAACCTTGGCTCTATGCATAAAACTAAGCTAAACAATTAATTTATTAATTCAAAGGGGAAAAGTAGATAATAACTTGCCTTTTTGGATTTAAAATAAATCCGCCGGTCTGCGCGTAGTCGGGTAAAATTGCCTACACCGGTCCAAGCTTCTTTCTCTTTCTCTTTTCCTTTCACTCTTATAAAATAGCTCTCTAGAATTTATACTTTGCTTCTAACTCCCTTTTATTTTTTTCTAAGGCAAGCTAGTTAATTTATACACAAAATATATAATATAAATATTACAAATATCTAATTTATAATAACTTCTCACCCATTTCTCATATTCCTACCTATATGGCTTTAATTCCAACCATAACCATTGATGCAATCCTATCCTAATCTCTAATTTCATCATGACTTTGGTTTAATACTATTATTATAAATATTATTATTATTATTACTAATATTATTATTAATAAACTTTTATAATAATAATTATTATTATTATATTATTATTATTAAACTAATATAATTATTATTATTACAAAATAATACATTATATCATCATAATACTATATAACACAAATATAATACTTTAATTAACTAATAATGATTAATATAAGCATAACCAACAAATAAAATTATTATTAATAATACATGCATAATTAAATGAATAAATTTACTATTTTAACATACACAATCACTTTACATGCACAATTAAATGAACATAATATAATAATGTAGTATGCACAAATAAATAAAATTAATTAACCTAACACAAAATTAATTTAAATACATTCTTTAAAATTACGGGGTATTACAAATGCCATGCCATGTAATGTCGCTCCCCATTTCCGAAACAATACCATTTCAACTTCCAAACCGTTAGTGCGATCCGACCCAAGTCACCTCCAAGGCGTTACGAAGGGAGGTTGGCTAGCTTTCCCCCACTACATGGCACCTCTGTGACGTCATCTGGGCCTAGGTATCTCAACCATACTAGAGTCTCTCTCTAGCTTCCCTCTAGACCACACTAACACCACGGACCATTAGACACCTCTTAGGCGTTCGGTTTTCGCGAATACTTTTCAAAAACTTTTCCCAAAAACAATTTCATTTATTTTTTTAAAACAAACTTTTCCCTTTACTTTCCCAATGGCAATGCATGAATTATGCAATTTTTTTCAATGCCATGACAATATAGAAATGTCATACATATCTCCATATCATTTAAGCATGTTTAAAATATGAATTTACACACAATATCGCATTCTCATATTTCCAAATCATGGCATTTTACATACTTTCAATTCGCAATTCCAACAATTAAATTCTACCATTCCATTAACGTCATATTCATATTTTGAGAAGAAATTCTAAACATTTATTTCTATAACTAATAATCCCAATTTTACATTTATTTTCACAACTAATAATCTCAATTTTATATAGCAATTGGCAAACATTATATATACAACTTATTATAATTGAACATGCTTTTCATCACAACAAATTAATTAAGTTCATAAACTCAATTAACACACCACATCACTTATCATCATGCACACAACTAAATACAATCACCATATTCAAATTAACTAAAACTAAGCATGCTTGTGATCAACTTTAGAAGGGAAAATTCACAAAGAATCAAAGAAATTGTGAATTAGAACACCTCTATCTCACTTAGATGCAAAAATTCCCAATTTGTCCAATCTAAGCCCTAGAATTTGAAATTCCTAGAGTGCACCAAAACCACTTTTGCTTCGGTTAAATCGTAGATCTCGACGTGCTCTTCGTTTTGCCACAAACGGCTCCCAAAAATACCAAAAGATGAAGAAGAAATCAATGATTGAATTTTTGTTTTGAAAAGAAAAAGAAAATGGATCAAGAAGGGAGAGGGAGAGAGAGAGAGAGAGAGAGCTTTCGAGAGTAGGAGAAAATGTGAGGCCAACATGGCCTTTTGGCCACAATTTATATAAGTGGTGGGTCCCACCACTTTTAATTAAAATTTTCTTTTTCTTTTTATTTTTACACCACAATTATATATATATATATATATATATATATATATATTCATACACATAATAATTCTCCACCACATATAACACATTAAATAAAATAAATGTGATGTAAATGGACTTAAATAATACCTCCGTATACGATAATTCCGATAGCAAGTCCCGCACGAGACCGTCCGGCCCGAAAAATGAAAAAAATGCAAAAATGACAAACTTTGCATTCCAAAGAGTTCGAACTCAATGAAATATCCCAACCAACACTCGGACACAATCGGCACACCCCATGGTGTCCGGCAAACAAAACAAAAAAAGGCAAAAATTTCCTCGAAAAATCAAAAAAAGAAAAATGGTAAAATTTGGAAACATTACAGTATGGGTGACAATATTTGATACGACACGAGATAAGAAGTTTGAGTTTGGACTAATCGTGCTGGTGTTGTAATCGTGTCGACATAAATTGACTCGCTAACTAAACGTATCGTATTTGTGTTTCACCCTTCTAACACGATTAACTCAATTAACTAAACGTGTCGTGCTTGTGTAAAAAATGACCCATTTGGTTAAACGTGTCATGGTTGTGTCAAAAATGACTTAAATATGTCTTTTCATCTCATTTCGTGTCATGTCAAGTCTTGATCCATTTATTAAACGGGTTACGCATATCATATCGTGTTACACATGTAATAAACGTGTTGTGTTTGTGTCAAGACTGGCATGATTAATGATCGTGTCATGTTCGTGTCAACCTGAATACGACATGCCAACACGACGCCTACTTGTGTGTAGGTAGAACACAATCTATTGAACAAACGTCATGGCAAGCGGGTAGGAGTCGACTTGAATAGGTTGGGTGAGCCGAGGGGTTAACCTAAGCCAAATCCAAGGCCTTAACTTTTTAGCTCGTGCCAAGCCCAACTTTCGAAAAACCTATCGCATCTCAACTCGCGTCGTACCGCATAGGTTTAACGTGTTTTTCGAATTTTTTGAGTCATCTTAAATTTTAATAACTAAGAACATCTCCAATGCCCTCTCAAAGGACCTCTCAAAGTCAAAATATAGCAGGTGAATGAAAATAATACACTCCAATGGCCTTTCAAAAGATCTCTCATATTTTGAGATTGTTAAAAGTATTACCATATATAGCAGCTCTCAAAATTTTTTGAGAGGTCTCTTTTTTCTCATACGGGTGCCGTTTCTCAACATATAACAGATGGATGCAAATAATACATTCCAAATAGCATTTTGGATGAAATGCACCATTGAAGCAGAATTACTAAAATATATTATTTTGACATTAACTCCTCTCAAAATATAATTTTGCCATGAAAAATAGTATTTTGCATTGGAGATGTTCTAAGAAAACAAAATATTAAAGTGTATAACTAAAAATCTTATATTATTTATTATTTTGTTTCCTTAGCTATTTTTTATTATATTATATTTTACTTTAATATTTTAAAGTAATTAAGAGTGTCAAAGTTAATCAGCTAATTTCAACTGATATGTGTTATACACAGTCGTACAACTATAAAAATATGTATATATATATTTGGCTATTTAAAAAAAGTGCAATATGTTAGAACCAATTTTTTTTATTTTATGGATTGGATCGATCAAGTCTTCCTATGGATCAAATTGAGTTAAGCTTTTTCACTAATGAGATTAGCGTCAATCTTCCCATTTAGTAGGGATTGGATGAAATTAGATTTAATGTAATTCTATTCAATCCGCGATTACCCCTAATTTTTACACATATAACTTGTGAATGGAAATATCATCGAAAGTTGAAACCCATTCGAGACGGTATGGAGAGAATTATGGTTAAACCAAGAGGGATAGGGTTTAAGGGAACTCAAAAAAAAAATATTTTCTCCTTAGATTTTTTTTCCCGAACAATTAAGCAATTGTATATATGTATACTGTCTTTTTAATATTTTAAAATCAAAATAAATACCTCTCATTCTACACTCTTAGGTCCTTAAGCCATATTGGTGGTGACGACTCATAGTATTGTTGTTGGGGAATGTTGCGTAAAAAGGAAAAAGAAAAAAGAAAAGAAAAATAAAATAAAATAAAAAAGAAAATATGCTTGTTGCTGGGGCCGGGAATGTTTCGTTAAAAAATAAATAAATGCTTGTTGCTAGGGCCGGAAATGTTTTTTTATCCATTTATTCTCTGCACTTCCTTGGAAATTAAGGAAAGGAAAAAGGAAATTCTCTCTCTCCGATAAATATATAAAACAAGTACCGGGCTCTATCTATCCCTTGCAATGCTAGCTCCTCTCTCTCTCACACACAAGCCCACCCAATCTTTCTGTTCATTTATTCTAATACTACCATTTTAGTTTCGAAAATGGCAGAAGGTTCATGGACTTGCGATGTCTTCTTGTCCTTCAGGGGTCCGGATACTCGCCGTTCCTTGACTTCCTGTACTACGCATTGGTGGAGCGTGGGTTTTCGATGTTCAGAGACGACAATAAAACTTAAACGCGGAGGAGCAATCGGGCCGGGACTGCTTAAAGCCATTGAGGAATCAAGGGTCTCCATTGTGGTATTATCGAGAAACTACGCGTCCTCAAGATGGTGCATGGATGAGCTTGAGAAGATCATGGAGTGCAGGAGGACTTTGAGACGGGTTGTTCTTCCTGTTTTTTATTGCGTAGAACCGTCCGACGTGCGGCTGCAGACGGGAGTGTACGCCGACACATTTGCCTCGCATGAACAGCTCTTTGGAGACGACCAGGTTCAGAGGTGGAGAGCTGCTTTGACTGAGGTTGCCTATGTTTTGTATTGACAGACAATGACAGGTAAGAATTCCCCTCGTTAATTTAGTTTTACTGATTAATTATTTGCTCAAATTTGAAATCTTTGAATCTTTGAGTTTCACATAATGTTTTTTTATTAAATTTCTTACTACTAATAATTTGTATGAATTTCAAGTAACAAGGAAAAAAAATATATCATATAAAATAAACTAGACTACTAATCATTTTTTAAATAAATAGGAAAATAGTATTAAATATGTAATTTCTTTAATGAGTTTCAACTATGAATTGTTATCTTAAATGATTCTTTTTGACATTCAAAAATGAATCTTTGCGTATAAATATATTAGAAATATACCATAGCCTCTCTTTTTTGTAAAATAGATCACGGGTTGCATTTACCTGCATGTCACATCAAAACAATAAGGACAAAAGTAGCTTCTACCACTTTAACTGTTAGCCCCCTTTAGTTTGACCTTTCCAAAAAAAGGTATATTATTTGCACGTCTATTTATCACTCTTCTGACTCTAACTTCGTAAATGAATAATTATTATTATTTTTAAATTATAAAATTACACTTTCAGATATGATTGGCCTCTCATTTCTCTCTCCAATCTTTAATGTTTTTTATCCAAAAACAAAAACATAAAATAAAAAACATAAAAGCATGTTATAAATAAATTCTTTCTTTTAACATCACCCAAAAAATAATAATAATGTCATCAAAAAAAATTCTTTATTGAATATATTCTCTCTTCTGGTAGCACTAAAAAACAAAAAAGTACTAAAAAAAATTATGTCTTTTGATAGAATTACAAAAAGAAAATAATAATAATAATTGTTGAATAAATGATCTCTTTTGACAAGATCCAATATATATATTACGTCAAAAAAAAATGAAATTAAAAATAACTCTCTTTTTTTCAAAAAGAAAAAAAAAAGGTTATCTTAGTGGAATAAATTATCCATTATTTCTCTTGAATAAATTAGTACTAATGAGTTTAGCTACTTTCTTGTCATTTTATTTTGGTGAATAATTTTTTAAAAAAATAAATAGAATGCAAATGTAGAAAAAGATGGTGCCAATATTCCCCCTTGTTTTATGGAGAAAATTTTATATTGGATCTTCTCAAAACATTTCTTTTTTGGGATTTGTTTCATTTTGTCTAAAAATTCCTTTTTTCCATGCATCATGACATAGTATTGGCTCTTGGTGGGAACGGGTCCTCTCCAAGAAAAGTTATTTCCAAGCATCTACACGTATTATTCCTACGACTGCTAAGGTGCCAAATCAATAACTTATTTGACAAGTGAATACGGTATCGTTTGGACTAAAGTATACAGTTAGGAGCCTTTCTCCTTTCCATCGAACTTTCATATTAGTGAACAGTTTCCTTCCTACAATTGAATTATTCTCTCAAGACCAGTCAATCCTTCTATCATTCTTGCATAGCATGAATCTTTGGAAATTGGAGTTATTTTAAGGATTTATGTAGAAATCTCAAATTTGGGCAATACTAATTTTTCTAGAATTTGTTAATAGAAATATATGTTCGATTAATCTTGCAAATCTTCAATTGTAACAATAAAAAATTATTGATGGTAGAGAGAATCGAAAAAGAAAGTTTCAAAACGGTAAGAAAATGTCGTAACATTGTTGTTTTAGTGTATTCAGTAATCAAATAAATTGTTGATATGGTGCCTTAGTATTCGTAGGATTAATAGTTGTAGATGCTTGGAGAGAACTTTTCTCAGAGAGGATCCGTTTGTTTGGTCGGTTCCTGTTTTGTCAGAATTTTTTTTTTTACTGGTCTTCTTCAAAATACACAATTTGCTTCTTTAAGTTTATGAAAAATGGAAATGATAAACTTGATGATGTAATAAAAATCGTCCCATATAAAAATTAGTAATTGAGATAAATACTTGGGAGAGAGAATCTATCCATATAGCATTACTCTAAGCAAAACTAGACTCATTCTATTCCACCACTCCATCAAACTTTTCTAAAATGTTCATTTATTTATTTATTTTTTTTTTAAAAAAAATCTAAATTGCAGGCCGAAAATTTGCAGGTCTAGTTTGAAGGTAATTAAAAAAATCATTAAAGAGGTCCGAAATATAACTGATCGTGCATCTTTAAATGTTGCAGACTATCCAGTTGGAATAGATGCTCGTGCTGAAAAACTCATTCAAATGCTAAATTTGGAGTCAAATGATGTTCGGACTGTAGCAATATGGGGGATGGGCAGAATAGGCAAGCCTGCAACTGCTAAGGTTGTTTATAATCTTATACATCATAAGTTCGACAGTAGTTGCTTTCTGTTAAATGTTGGAGCAACTTGGAAGCAATACAACGGTCCCGTTAAATTACAAAAAAAAAGCTTCTTTCAGATATTCTACTCGAGAAAAGCCTAGTGTGGAAGATTCTGAGCATGGAATTATACAAATAAGACAACGAGCATGGTGCCGAAGGGTTTTTCCTGTCCTTGATGGCGTGGATGACGGGGACCAATTGAAGACATTAGCCATAAATTGCAAGTCACTATGTTCTGGAAGTAGGATCATTATAACAACTAGGGATTTATCTTCGATAAGTTCGCTTGAACTTCCAAAGAATGAGGTGTATAAACCCAAGGAGTTGGATGCGGAAGAGTCCCTTAAACTCTTCAGTTGGCATGCCTTCAAGAAAAAGGTCCTTTGGAAGACTACGGGATGCTTTTAGCAGAAGTGGTGGGTTATGCTAAGGAGATTCCTTTAGTTCTTGAAATTTTAGGTTCCTTCTTTTCCTACAAAATAAAATCCGGATGGATAAGTGAATTGAAAAAGTTAAAGGAAATTCCTCATGATGATGTCCAACCAAAACTTAAGCTAAGCTATGATTCACTCAATGGTGAACAGAAGAGCTTATTCTTAGATATTGCATGTTTTTTTGTTAGAATGAACAAAGATTTGGCAATCAAAATACTAGAAGGCCGTGGTTCATTCCCAGAATCTAATATCCGTGTTCTAGTTCGTCGTGCTCTTTTGCGAATTGATTCAGATAACCGATTGATAATGCATACTCGGATTCAAGATATGGGTAGAGAAATTGTCCGCCAAGAATCTGCTTAAGAGCCTGGAGAACGTTCCAGATTGTGGAATAAAAAGGATGTTCTTGATGTACTGCAAAATTACAGTGTAAGAGCCAAATGCATTAATTATTTTGTTAATATGGGATGTTTTGTTCACCCTTGAGCGTTATCTAGGGAGGGATATCATGTGTCAAAATTATATATACATTTTTATATATTTTCTTGTGCAACTCCTTGTATCATCAGGGAAGGGATGCAATTGAAGGCTTGCTCCTAAACTTGCAAAGATCAAATGAGCCACTGTTGGATGCAAAGGCATTTGCAAATATGAGCAGATTGAAACTGCTTCATCTCAATTACATTCGCCTAGTTGGGAGCCACAAACATCTCTCCAGACTAGCATGGCTGTGTTGGATCGGTTACCCTTTGAATTGTATACCATCTACCCTATTTATGGGTAACATGGTCGCTATTAACTTGAGCTATAGCAAACTCAAAGTAGTTTGGAGATAAACTAAGGTATGAAATTGTTTTCATTTCTTTCAAAGTCCTCACAATGAAATTCACTTTTCTATATATTCTATGTTTATGACAGGTTTTGAAGAAATTGAAATACCTCAATCTCAGTCATTCCTACCTGACAGAAACCCCAAACTTCACTGGACTCGCCAGTCTTGAAATATTGTTACTTAATGATTGTACAAAGCTGTTAGATGTTCACCATACTATCAAGTGTCTACAAAATCTTCTTGTCTTGAATATGAAGAATTGCCAAGATCTTCACAAGCTTCCGTGAAGCATATTCATGTTGAAATCTCTCAACTATCTTGATCTCTCTGGCTGCTTCAAATTAGGCATCCAAAGATCATGGCGTTCAATGGTCCAGTCTTTGGTATCACTAGCAAGAAGTCCGTATTCCATTGGGATGTTTTCGTCTTTAGTCTCACTAGCAATAAGTCCAGGTTTCATTCGGATGTTACCGGCTTCTACACAGGGACTAAGTTCCATTTCAAAACTAAATCTGGAAAACTGCAATGTCTCCATTCTGCCCAGTGAAATTTGTGGTTTAGTCTCTTTGCAATGTTTGAATCTTAGCAGAAACAATTTTGCTAGCCTACCAGCTAGCATTACGGACCTTTCTCAACTGAAGGTCCTCTATCTAAACCAATGTATTGGGCTTCAATCACTTCCAGGTCTTCCAATCAAGTTAAAGAGTCTGAGTGCAAACTACTGCGCATCATTGAAGAGGATATCAATTGAATCAAAAGTGGATGAAGCCCCATTCATGACTTTTTATGGTTGTCCCGAATTAGGTGACAACTTTGCAAATGATTTTAGAAAAATTCTACTCCAGTACCAGGTACTCTCTCTCAGTCTCAGCACACACACATACATATATACAAATTTAGGAAAAGCATCATGATTCTAACGCATGGTTTGATGGAACAGGGACTTCCCGAACAAGGCGATTTGAGTATTTTCCTTCCTGGAAGTGAGGTTCCGAACTGGTGCAACTACCAGGGTGTGGGATCATTTTTATCTTTTTTGGTGCCTCCGCTAGTGGGCAGGAAGATACAAGGGTGGATTTTATGTGTTGTCTTTGCCGGTCGTTTGGATGATGAAGACAATGACGACTATGAAGCGTTGTCTTGTGATATTAATAATAAAACTATGGGTACTAAGAAGCGTTACCAACCAACAGTTGATGGCTATCCTGTGAAATGTGAAGATCAGATGTGGCTCAACTATGTGCCTCACCGGTATCTTGAATCCGAGTGGAAGGAACTTGATTCTCGATTGGGAGGTGGTGATAGAGTGGAGATGACGATAAGAATATACAGGCGATGGCAGATGAAGAAGTGTGGGGTTAGTCTCATCTATGATCAGGGCTGCGATGAGGAGTGTGCCGAGTCATTTGGTCAACCACTTATCCAAGACACCTTGCCTTCCAATGATC